GAGAAATGAAAACTTAACATGTATATTCAACACCTCTTCTTTCCAAAGAAAGAAATGGCAAGAGGCTTTGTAAATATACTCTTTTTCCAAGATTTCTTTATTTTAGGAGAGAAGTCTGTAAAGCTAGTACTTTGACACAGAAGTCTCCCAAAATTATTCTCTTGAATGTGGAAAAAAAATAAAGAACCACACACACAAACAACGAGACAATGCTGCACTTGCCTTTAAGTCTGATATATTTAATCAAAGTTTTGAACTTTGAGCAGCAAGCTGAAACCTAATACTCAGTTTAAGCAGTTGCTGTACAGAATTTCAATATGCACTGACATAACAAAAACTATTTGATGCTTGCCTATCCATAAAAGCGCCAACTGGCAGGCAAGTATGCAAGTTTTTCCATGTGTGCACACAAACATGACTTATTCACGTTAAGGGAAACCATTGCTCCCTAAAATTTCCTATAACCATTCATTTTTTCCCCTGAAGACTCCCAAAAGATACAAACTGTCATTCAAGTTTGCAAAGCTTCTACTCAAGTAACACAGCAAATTAAAACAGGCCAATTCAGTTCTACTAGATGGTTATATAAATTTTTAATTTGTAAAAATATATCTTAGATTATTATTTCATGGAAAGCCAGTTGATTTTTGATGAAATGTAAAGTTTATTTACAATATAAAGTTGTGAAGACTTATGAGCACAAAAATATTCTCAAGCAGTAATGTCCATATGTTTGATGTAGGTAGCACAAAGCAGATGCAAAAAGACTTACTCTCCCCCATCACCTGCAATATTATGAAATGCTTTTACTACAGAAATATATTAAATTTGAAGCACTGTAGACAATACTTACTGAGGAAGTTTGGGTAATAATCTGTAAAACAGTTGACAATAAACCGAACAAAATCCAAGTCCTAAAATAAAAGCACAGATTAAATGCAATGTAAATCAAAACATTAAAAATACAGATTTAGCTAACCTAAAGCATTTATTGAATAGCAGAAGATACATGTATGGTAATCATCTGTATTCAAGTTTTACACACGCTACAAACACCATACAAATTCAATGCAATACTTTTCACTTCATAAGTTTCCTACTGGACCATGGTCAAACCTAGCTTCATGATCATAAAGAACAGAACTATTAATGCAACAACTTAGGTAGTTAAACTACCGCAGAGTATAAACAAGATTTAGGCTGTACAGGAAAAAAAAAAAAAGAAAAATAAACCTTTAGAACCAGGGAAGCTTGACAGATAAAGCATTATATGGGAAAGCACAGAAAATATCAACATTTCCCTCCAATAACTTATTTTACATGTTCAAAATACTACTGCACTCAGGATCTGCCAGAAAAAAAAAAAGTTTTCCTTTTAAGAGAAGTTTTAGTATTAGCTAGTTGTATCCAGGGAAACTGAGCAGAGGCTGCACTCAAAACAGTTGCATACCACCCGTTTTCAAGGTGTGTCAAGGAGCAGCCATACAGAAATAGTACAGCCAAATCACAAGATCCAGGTATAATAGAACTGACTATGCAGTAACGGTCAAAAAAGACATTATATGAAACAGGTACAGATGATAAAGATTCGCTACCATGATAAGGTACTTCAGTTAGGTGGAAGCCTGCCACGAGTACTCATACTTCCCCCAGTCCTTCTAACAGAAGTGACCACTACTACTGCTTTCAAAAACATTATAAAATATATTGCTGATGGAGGATTCAAAGCCTGCCATAACAGTAATAACGCTATAGGGAATGGGCTCCTAAGGTGATGTAAATGAGATTACAACATCTATGGCCATAGAGGGAGAAAAAAAACCCCAACACTCTGTATAAGAGGATTACTCACAACCTGAAATCTCTATTACTAGCTTCAGTAACTGGAAACTAACTGAAAGCCTGGCGTCTTTAGAGGCAGAAGGTAGCCTTTAATAGGAGCATTTATCTCAATTGGCTTCTGCTTGTACCAAATTCAGTATCTTTCATTTAACAGCATAAACACAGTGACAGATTTCCAAGCAATGATTAGAATCTCCTGTGCATTAACAAGGCTGCTGCTCTTTATTCTGCTGCCTACCCAAAAGCAGCACTATCAGGTATTAGGAGGATGGATCCATTATTTTGATTTAAGTCTGGAATTAGAAGTACAGATTTCAGCAGACCATTCAATAACTGCATCTAGTCTAGTTCCCTGAGCTGATGCAACAAGGTGCAAGCTATCAGAACTGCCTGGCTGCATACCAGTGATAAAAGCTGACACCATAGATGTCCATAGCAACGGAACAAACAAATGAACCATGCTCTGGAAGAGAGCCCCAAAATCCAAGTTCTTTTAGGATAAAATCTATAAATTACTCTAGCTGCCGACAAACAGCCATTAAAATAAATCCTGTTCTCTGATAAACATACTAACTACAAAGACAGACTGCACAATGGGACACCTATGGACAGCACTTGCCGAGATTGTGTCTCTGGGAGTTACAAAGACACTGGAAAGAAGTTGCTTCAGAATACGCTCCATAAAACACACAGCAAGTTGCTTTTTCACATCAAGTAAATAACTACAAGCCTTTATCCGTCTTATACAACCACAGCTCTGATATTATCTTTATGAGTATGTATAGACAGCTCTCAAGGCACAGGTAAGAGCACCAATCCTGCCTTGCAAAACTGAATTACACCATATTTATCTGTCAAAATCCTCTCAGTAGGTATCAGCCCTGTACTGCACAGCTGCAAGGTACTATTGCAATATTAATCATCTTGACGGGAAGAGGCAGAACAAAACTTAGTTGTTTGTTTGTTTGGTTTTTTTGTTGCTTATATATTTAAATGCATTCTAAAGGCATCCCTGCCACACCAACTAAAAAAAGAATAAACAAGATAGAAATTCTAGCCATTCTTGTAAGAACAACAGGACAATATGGTATTTGGTAAGAAAAATTTCAATATTCTATGGAAATAATTTTTTATTATTATTATTTATAATCAAAGCTATGTTTAGTTATTAAATTCAATCTATAAATATGTAATGATAGGCAAGATCTCCACCTTGTCATTAAAAACAGCTTAGATTCTGATCCTGAAAGTGGATGCTAAAAATGTACTTTTCTCTGCTGAACTCAGACCAAGAAACTGACAGAGAACTCTGTAGATTTTCATCTACATTAAAATTACTTAAATGTGGCCTTTCCTCAGCCCTCAAAAAAAAAAAAAAATCCTGATTTTAGTTTGTTTAATTTGAGGATTGGTATTGAGGAGGTGCTATTGTTCTAATACTCTAAACAAGCTTCTGGCAAAGCAAACCTTAAAGATGCTTGTTGTAAACCATGGCTATGCACTTATGGTTTTCTTACAAAGATATTAAGAGGTAGAAAATCAGATCTAAAGTAAGTGATATTACCACATGCATCCACTCTTAAATCTACATAGGTTTAAACCACACTTTTTAATTTCTAAATTTCAGAAGACAATCTCAACCAAAAAAAAAAAAAATGCAGCTTCATTCTGTGCCATTAACCAGATCAAGTTCTGTTGGTAGTAGTATATCATTCAGACTGTATTGACAGCAACCATAGATAAAGCTGTACACAAGCTGACACTCAGGCTCACACCTAAAAATGGATCACCCATAGATCTAGTAAATTTAAAGACTCACTGTAAAGATGGAAAACAAAACCTAAAAACAAACAAACAAACATAAAAAAAAAAAATCAAAGATTGTACCTAATGCACTCAGAACAAAGTAGAACTTGTGATCCAGATATAGAGCAGAAATTCTTGTTAATAACACAAGCACCTTTTGAAACAGTAGATTTTAGTAAGACATACCTAAATCCAAGTAAGGAACAATCACAGGAACAAGATTTGTATTTAAAAACTTCTAGAAAATATACAAGTTCAGATAACAGGATGCAAACAGTCAGTGTTCTGATGAGTACTGAGAAGGGAGAAGCAAGTATCGGATCAAAAAAATTCTACCTAAAACCAATGGAAGTGAAAGAGAACTGCAAAAAGGAAAACCCACAGCACATAGTTGTAAATATATTGTAGTTGAAAACTTGTCAAGAAACTCCACAAGGAGCTGTTTGTTGTTTTGGTTCTCATAGAAGCACTGGCACATGAATACCAAAAAACATCAGCAAAAGATCCCTATCTCAAGTTTACTAAAGTAAATGCTTAAACAAGCCAAATGTATTTCTTCCGGTATTTTGTACCGGGGCTGGCTGATCCGAAAATTGCAGCCCTCCTGGTGCAGGGCTCTTGTGTTGGGAGTCAGAAGGGTGTTGATAAAACCCACATCGTGACTATCCCTGAGCAGTGCTCGCACAGCACCAAGGCTCTTTCTAACATTCCCCCCACAATGGGATGGGGGGGCAGGAGCTTGGGGGTAACATAACCAGGACAGCTGACCTGAACTGACCAAAGGGGTATTCCATACCCTATGACCTCAGCTCAACTATAAAGCTGGTACAAAGGAGGAGGAGGGGAAGGCTACTCCTCAGTCATCCAGAGCAACCGCTATGCGTTTTGGAGCCCTGCTTCCCAGGGAAGGCCGGACATCGCCTGCTGGTGGGAAGTAGAGCATGAGCCTATGGGTTTTGCTCTTTGCTTCCACACACAGCACGACTTAACTTTTGCTCTCTAATTAAACCATCCTTGGTTTTACCCACAAGGGTTTTGTCTCTATCTTATTCTCTGTTCCCCTTCTGCTCTGTGGAGGAAGGAGAGGAAAGGGGGAAGGTGACAGAGTAGCTTGGTGGGCATCACTTGCTCAGCCAGGGTTAGCCCACCACAGTTTTGTAGGTTGATATCCATTACATAAAAAATCCTGTTCACACTGAGTAAATACTAAGTCAATTGTTTGCCTCCTGAAATTTCTGCAAATAGCACAGAGAGCTGAGTCTCTAGCTCAAACTAGAAGAAACCCCACTCTACAATGTTCATGTTACTACACTATGAACAAGTTCAGCATCCTTCAAAGGAACGTAGGTGTATGGATATCAAGTTACAATAGGTCCAGACAGTATGCAAGAATCACTGAAGCAAAAGTGGTGTCCTCAAACACTGAGAAATTCCAGAACTCATGTCAAAAAGATACCTGTGTGCTTCATGAAGGTTTTAGTGAAAATTAGATGATCAGCCACTGGTTTTCTAAAGAAAGAACATTTCATGGCGAGTTTGAGGGAAAATGTTAACATTTCACAGAAATGTTTTCAACATCAGTTTAGTAAATGCTATGGCCAAAGAGACAAAGTTTTTTAGAGTCTAAAATCCCACAAATCACATTCTTTAAATCTTCCACTTTTCCATATACGCACAGGACTTAAGAACAGTAAAGACCATCAATTCAGAAGCAGTTCTGAAACATTTAAGTTTCATGTAACATACATTAAAAAATTGCTGAACTCCAACGAGCACCTGAACTTAAGCATTCTCTGAAGTTAGGGAATTACCCAAACTTAGGTATAACTACAATAAATCTGTAATTCCCAACGCAGACACTGACTTGACACATGATCAATTTTTTCTTTTTAAATTATTATTTCCAAATACCTAGAATATGGAATTTAAGTACTGACTGAGGGGAACACTGACATACTGAAATGTATTAAAAATTGGTGAAACTTTGTATTCTGTAAATTGTTGTAGAAATAGGAAATAGTTTTCTGGAATAGTTTCCAAAACTCCTTTTCGCTTCTTTAATGATTCAGTCCTACAATTATGTCCAAGGTAAAAGTGAAATCTTACTCTTACAATAATTAGAATTTTTTTATCTAATTTCAGCCTTTTGAATAATCATCCATTTTACAGAAGTGACTGAGCGGCACTGCTCCTCCTTCATGTTGTAGTCCTAAAGAACATCTAGAAATGCATAAAAACTTCAGCTAAGAGAAATGTCTCCTCTTCTCAAAAGCTGGATTCTCTCTTTTATGTAAGGTCAAGCTTGGAGGAGGCAGTCTTCAGTAAATCTGACAGGTTGGACAAGGAACTGAAAAAAGTGGGTGCAGATATTATTCCTGAAGAAGTATAAACTTAAGTCTGATAGAAGGGCCTACAATTCAGGAGTTTATCACATCTATTCAAATTCAGACGGCCTCATTTTTTTCTTCTCTGTACACAGCAACAAGCATGAAGATTTCTTCACCATATTAGTCTCATCATTATAATAACATGTTTTGTTAGTCAGAGAAAAGACTGACTTGGGCTATACTTGGTTAAGGTGAATAGTGAAAGCAAAGACCACTTGATGAACTGTTCTTTTGCATCCAGCTAACTTTGCTTCACAACAGAATTCTATGGGTGGAGAGAGATGCATGCAGGGACTTAAACAGCCCAACTTATTTATGTGGAGACAGAATACACAGCATGGAGGATGGTGAGGCAGGACCAAAACTGTCAACTGAAGATGCTGACTTGTCAGCAGAGAACAATGTTCTCATCCCCTGCACCTAAGGGTTTTAATGCTTCACCATTACCCTACTTTTCCTTCCTTCACTCTTGACTGATTGATTCATCCCAAAAAAGTTGATAATGAAAACGAAGCTGTTGAAGTGACAGCAACTGTGCCCACAATAGAAGATGGCTTAGTCTACTGCCTTTTGGGTACTTAAAAAACTAAGTTCTACTACTGTCATCCACGACTGACAAAGCCACCTGATAGGGAAATACTACACAGAGTCACTTCAGCTAAGGCACACAAGTTTTCAGTGTACTGCACAAGAATTAAAGCTTAATATGTAACAAAAGATTTTGGAAACTGCTCTCGTCACAGGAAGAAGCTCTACGTATCTCTGACGTGAGCAATTGCTACATGACTTAGGTGTCAAGGACTGCACACAGACTAACCTTTTTCTGGGGACATAGGTTAAATAATTCAGAAAGCTATCAGAAAAACAATAAAAATACTTACTATGTGGCTGATTCCAGTTTCAGACATGTCAAATACCACCGTTAAAGGCTTTCCGTGATCTCTCTTGGCATAATGTTCTAACCAAAAAGCTACCAGTTTCTTTTTGTCAAGTTGCTGTTTAGCATCTTTTATATGATGTTTCACTCTGAACCAAACTTGTGAAAAGAAAGAAAAACAAAACTGGAAAAAGAGATCCACATCAACAGAAAACATTATGCAAATAATTATACAGCATGCACTGAAGTTTATTAACACTTCAGATTTTATTTTACATTTCTACTGATTTTGTGGCCACTGAACAGCCATAAAAAAACACCTGCATACCTTTCCAAACACCCTCCTTTTCTCAATCACATTTTTATACTAGAATGTTTTTAAAAATTGAAAATGCAAAACAATCATAGCAACACAGAAACAGTAATGTAGAAAAAAAAACCACTTCATGTGTTTGAAACTACTTATCTAGATTATCATTTCATAATTTCAAATTACATCATGCAGTCCTCAGATATATTGTTATGCATGTCTTCTAAGTATTATGATTGTAAAAACTTTCTTTTGCTGCTTACATTTTGTACAGCATTGTAGTTGAAGCATTTTGAAAAACTATTTATACACATGATGAATTATATAAAAAGCAACAGACCTTTCTAAAATAAAATAAAAATGAAAATATCCATAAGATGAGCAACATTACATAAATTAAAGTCATACATACCCTTCTGGAATAAGAAACGAGTCATGCAGAAACAAGTCTTTTCATGAAAAATAACAAATTTTGCAGTAACGAACCTTATAGAAATATCTGAACTCAAATTACTGATTATATAATCTAGGTAATATGATAAATATTCAGGGCAGCAATATAAAAAGCAGTGTTCATTTTTGGCACAATACCAAAAATCAGACAAGCCCTGAAAAAAATTGTAGTTATGCTAATATTTTTCACTCTGAAACTTTTAAAGTCTTATTAAAAACCAAATTTCTTCTCCATGTCTTTTACCTCCAATTGCAAATAAAAAAATTTGTTTGATGTAAAGAAAACTTTTTATTAAAACATAGCATAATAACTAGATGCTCTAAGTTCAGAATTTCAAAAAGATACCCCTCTTCAAACATGGGACTCTTGTGAAAGTAACCAATAATTCTTTAAGAACTTCTTTATACTTGAAAATGCCTATTTTACATAATAAAATGAGAATGGAGCATGTGGACCAGGAAACACATTTCTGAAATGTTTACTAACCAGAAACCCTTAACTACAACACCAACTAAATCTGTATGCAAAGTCAGATATTCTGACACATTTAACATTGGCAGAGGAAACATTTCAGGTATGGAAAATTGAGACATTACTTATGTTTCAGGGACAATAAAATCAGAAGTCATTATTTACCTGACTTACACATTGTCATGAAACTGCCTAGTTTGCTCAGTCCAAACACTGATGCAAGACAGTCATGCCTTTACTACTCCCCATCTCACCAAATTGAACCAGTCAGCATAATCATGCTCAGCTTTCTAAATGTTATAACAAGGTACCACCACCATGTATCCTTGAATACTTACCTTGGAGGCTGAAAGAAAATCATGAAGCTTAGCAAAGCAGCAATTTTTCAGACAACACTGATATTTTAGAAGAATTAAGAAAAGGGACAGTTGGACAAAATACAGCCATAGTATAGAAGCTGTATTTTTCTGGTCATGTTTTTGTTTGTTTGTGGTTTTGTTTTTTTTTGTTTGTTTGTTTGCTTGGTTTTTTATAAAGTATATTGGTGTTTAAAACAGTCATTTATGTAAAAGACTGGACTGCTAGTATACTTCTGGAACTGCAAACTAGCCCTTGTAAAGGAAGTAAAGGCAGAATTTCAGTTTTAAATTTTGTTTGTTTTTTTTTTTTTTTCTTCAAGGTTCAAGATCACTGCTTGGAAGGCCTCATGAACGATTTGTTTAAAAAGTCTCTTTTCCCCTCATAGGATTTAAGCTTAATTAAAAGTAAATATTTGAGACGTTAAAAAATTAATTTATAAGAAGTAATATTAAGCATCTAATATACACTAGAGTATTTCAGGCAGTATTTACTCTTTCC